TTCAAGGATTTGTGAGCTCGTCACACAATCCCGTCTGGTTAAACCCAGGATGGATCGTAGGCAGGCCAGCCTAAATGTTTCTAACCGGCGACGATGCTCCATTAGGGGGGTCCACGTTTCGCAAGCGTAGAGAAGGGAGGGAATGACCGTGGCCGAGAAGACCTGAAGCTTAGTGCGGAGCGACAGACCAGGTAGCTTCCACACAGCTTTACGCAGCAGATGAAAAGATATTGCCGCTCGACTGATTCGGAGTGAGACCTCTGCTATTAAACTGGAGCCAGTCATAAGCACACTGCCCAGGTATGGGAAACTCTCCACTCTCTCCACAACTGCCCCATCACCGATTGGGAGTTGTGGGGGTGGAGTGTCCGATGGTATAAAATACTCAGGCAGGTGCTTGGTTTTGGTGGGGCTGATGGTAAGGCCCCACCTCTTAGTGGCACGCTCCAGTCTCAGCAGCAGCGTCTCCAACTCCTCCTCTGAATGAGCAGCTATTACCAAATCATCAGCATACATAACGTGGTTGAGCAATAGGGAGCCATCCCTTGACCGCACCCGGGCATCGATCAGCCTTCCATTATATCTGTACCCTATGGAGTTTCCCCCGGTACAGCTATTGAAGGCTTCACGAACTACGTGGTCAAAATAGATGTTAAATAATGTGGGAGCCAGAGGACATCCCTGTCGCACCCCAAGGTGTACAGGCAATGGCTCTGACTCCCGGCCACGTAGTTTTACCCGGGCCCGCTCACCATCATGAAGGTCCTTAATGATCTTGAGCAGAGGGTCAGGTACTCCAAAAGCACGAAGAACAACCCAGAGCCCACGCCTACTGATGGTATCATAGGCATTGACCAGGTCAATAAAGCAGAGATGTAGGTCTTGTTGGAATTCCATATACCTCTGCTGTAGCAGACGGACAGAAAATATGGCATCTGTGCAGGACCGCCCTTTGCTGAAACCGCATTGGGGCTCCGCAAGCCTCTCCTCAGCGTGCCTGGCAAGGCGATGTTGAATAATCCAAGCCAGGACCTTTCCCAGCACACTGAGGAGTGAGATGCCCCTGTAGTTGTTACAGTCTGTGCGGTCCCCCTTCTTAAAAAGGGGGACCGCACTTCTTAAAAAGGGGGACCACCAGGGCATCCTTCCAATCCTGCGGAACCCGCCCAGTGATCCAGACTGTTGTTATGATGTCATATAGGGCAGTCTGTGCACAAACGCCGCCCTCCCTCAGCATTTCGCTTGGGAGATCATCTCTGCCCGCTGCCTTTCCTGGTCTCAGACTCCGGATCGCCTTCAGTACTTCCTCAACAGATGGCACCTCGGCCAGCTACTCACAGGGGGTGACTTCTTCCAATATTTGAGGCACCGCAGCCTCAGCAGGGTCATCCTCCCTTTGTGCCACGATGTTTTCCTGGCTGAGGGACTTTCCCTCCCCCAGGACCTCACAGAAATGCTCAGCAAATCTGCAAACCGGTTCCTGGGGGTCGGAGATTGGATCACCGTTTTTCCCCCTAATGATGGTAATAGGTGTGGCGCTGTAGATTACTTTTTTGATGGAGTTAAATAGAGATTTGTGATCATGGGCCACTGAGGCAGACTCCATCTCCTTAGCAACCCGCGACCACCACCCATCCTTGCAGCGCCTCACGGCTCTCCGAACCTCCGAGCAAAGGCTGCGATAAGCCTCCTCATTCTCTGACGTGGGATTCTGTAGCCGATGACAGTGGGCCTGTCGCTTTTTCTCAACTATCCTGAACACCTCATCTGTCAGCCAGGGTCTCTGGGGAGGTCTGGACCGCGTACCCAAAGCAGCCATTGCAGCTGCATGAGTCACAGTCCCAAACCTCGCCCATTTACCCTCGACATCAGGAGGAGTCGGGGACGATGCCAATCCCAGCCGCAAGCGATGATGAAATTCTCGCTTGCAACTTTCATCAGATAACCGAGACCAGGGCACTTTAGGTTGGAATGGGGTCCTGGGTGTACACCCACCACCGGAGTGGAAGAATGGCAGGCGCATCTTACAGATGACTCGTCGATGGCCAGAGGGCAGATCAGCTCCACGGTAGGTCCTGGTCTCAAGGACATGGGCTCGCATCCGCTGGTCCGTCACTGTGTAGTCCAGCAGATGTTCTTGCTTGGACCTGGCATGCATCCATGATGTTGTGTGGATGCGCCGATGCCGGAACAGCGTGTTGGTAATTACAAGCCCACGGGCTGCACAATAATCTAGCAGCCTCCTACCGTTGTTATTGAGCTGATCTGGCCCATGCCCTCCAATCACTCCAGACCAGGTGCCAGTATCATGACCAACGCACACACACGTCCACACACACACGTCCACACACACACGTCCACACACACGCACGCACACACACGCACGCACACGTCCACACACACGCACACACACGCACGCACACATGCACACACGCACACGTCCACACACACACACGCACGCCCACGTCCACACACACGTCCACACACACACACGTCGACACACACACACGCACGCACACGTCCACATACACGCACACACACACACACGCACGCACACGTGCACACACACACAGACACACGTGCAAACACGCACACGTCCACACACACACACGCACGCACACGTGCACACACACACACGTCCACACACACACACGTCCACACACACACACGCACGCACACGTGCACACACACACACGTCCACACACACACACGTCCACACACACACACGCACGCACACGTGCACACACACACAGGGCTCTTGACGTACACACCGACAACACCGTCAGCAGCAATGCGAGTCGCGCGGTGCTGCTGCTGTGCGGTCGGAACGGGCTCCTAGCACAGGCGCGCTTCGTGCCCGGTGGGGGTGGAGGGCGGTGGAAGTGGGGGGGCTCTGGGAGGGGGTGGGAGGGGAGGGCTCTAGGGGGGCTCTGGGAGGGGGGGGGGTGGGAGGGGGGGTGGGAGGGGGGGGGGGGTGGGAGGGGGGGTGGGAGGGGGGGGCTCTGGGAGGGGGGGCTCTGGGAGGGAAGGGGCTCTGGGAGGGGGGGGTGGGAGGGGGGATCTGGGAGTGGGGGGGGGGAGGGGGGGCTCTGGGAGGGAAGGGGCTCTGGGAGGGGGGGCTCTGGGAGGGGGGGGGCGGGCGGGGGGGTGGGAGGGGGGGCTCTGGAGGGAAGGGGCTCTGGGAGTCGGGGGCGGTGGGAGGGGGGGGCTCTGGGAGGGAAGGGGCTCTGGGAGGGGGGGGAGGGGGGCTCTGGGAGGGGGGGGGCGGGAGGGGGGATCTGGGAGGGGGGGCTTTGGGAGGGGGGGCTCTGGGAGGGAAGGGGCTCTGGGAGGGGGGTTGGGAAGGGAGGCTCTGGGAGGGGGGGGGGGGCTCTGGGAGGGGGGGGGGGACTCTGGAGAGGGGGTGGGAAGGGGGGCTATGAAGCCGCGAGTAGCACGTGGCTTGCGTCTCGGCGAGCTGTAGGAAAAGCTTCGTCCTGGAGTGAATCGAACTTTGAGTTCAATGAGAAGCGGTTAATTCGCCTCCTGCTTGTCCTCCTCCTCCTCGCTGTTGGGGGGGAACGCTGCTATAATTGCGGCCGTGGTGCTGACCCCGCTCGTCGCTATCGCTCAGTGCAGATCATCAACAGAAGCCACGGTCAATCCACTGATGGACGTAGGCCTTTCCAGGCCAGCGGATGGGGGGCAATTTCACACCGACGCACCCTCATTTTTTAATTTAAAAAATGTGCCCAAGGGCAAGTACATTATGTTTCATTGATGTATACTGTATAGTATATATGATTATAAAACAAGTAATTAATAATAGTAATTAATACTATTCTTCTAAGAAAACCACACTCAGTCGCAGGAAATTGTTTTCAGGAGGATTCTGGAACATTTGATTTATTTAAGATGTTTGCGGCCAATTAAAAATGAGTCTTTGTACACGTGGGACGAAACCGGAGCGCCTGGAGAGAAGCCACGCGCGCGAGGGAGCAACGCTCTATCCCACGTGCAGATGGAAACAGAGGGCGACTACTTGCTGTACTGCCTTCTCCTGGCCGAGCCAGGGTATACGGCACCTCCTCGATGCCCACGGGAAGGGAGTTTCACAACATTTGTGCGATCCACTAACCCTCGTCTCCACATTGCGAGATTCTTGACAAATGCATATATATGCAATGGAATGCGTTTCCCAGTGTGAGTGACATTCTATTACTCGACAGGGGAAACAATTTGGCGGCCATCCGAATTCGTTTTTTTTTCTGTCTTTATTTTAGTTGGGTGCGTCCAGCTTGATGTTAGGGCTAACCATGTCCTGAATAAGCTGCCAGCACGTGGAGAGTAAAACGTCGAACATCACGCTTTTGAACGAGTAGCCCAAAAACTCCCGCGGCACGTGCAGCGAAAACATCGGGGGTGGGTGGTGGTGGGGGTGGTGGTGGCTGGTGGTGGGGTGGGTGGTGGTGGGGTGGGTGGTGGGGCGGTGGTGGGTGGTGGTGGGTCGGTGGTGGGGGTGGGTGGTGGGTGGTGGTGGGGTGGGTGGTGGTGGGGGTGGGTGGTGGGTGATGGTGGGGTGGGTGGTGGTGGGGGTGGCGGTGGTGGGTGGCTGGTGGTGGGGTGGGGTGGTGGTGGGGTGGGTGGTGGGGCGGTGGTGGGTGGTGGTGGGTCGGTGGTGGGTGGTGGGTGGTGGTGGTGGGGTGGGTGGTGGTGGGGGGGGCGGTGGTGGTGGCTGGTGGTGGGTCGGTGGTGGGGGTGGGTGGTGGTGGGGGGCGGTGGTGGTGGTGGGGTGGTGGGTCGGTGGCGGGGGTGGGTGGTGGTGGAAAGGGTGGGTGTTGGTGGGGGGGGGCGGTGATGGTGGTGAGTGGTGGTGGGTGGTGGTGGGGGTGGGTGGTGGGTGGTAGTGGGGGGGGGGCGGTGTTGGGGGGGGGGCGGTGGTGGATGGTGGTGGGTGGGTGGGTGGTGGTGGTGGTGGGTGGTGGTGGGTGGGTGGTGGTGGGCGGTGGTGGGTCGATCACCTGCACGGGGTTGCAGATGGGGGTGACCGCGTTCTGTCGGCATCGCCTGCCGAAGCGTAGCCTGGCCGCGCGGTAGATCTTCCAGTAGACGAAGAGCACCACGCCGAGCGGGAGGTAGAAGGCGCCCACGGTGGAGCACACGGCGAGGGGGAGGGTCCTGGCTCACCTGGTGAGACAGCATGGGAGGGGGCCTCATCACCTGGGCGGGTGGTTGAGCGGAGGTGGAGGTGGCGGCGACGGCGGTGGCTACGCATTACGAGGAGCTCGCTACCTACAAGAGACAAAGATCCCCCGTGTAGCCTTGAACAGACTGTTGGGGCGAATGCTGTTTGCGAGTTGTGCTTACGAGGGCGGCACGGCACATCAGGGGGTGGGTGGCCAGCACCACGGCCCGCAGTGAGTAGCTGCTGTCCACTCGTTAGGAGGAGGAACCCTTCACCTGCAGGTTCATTTCTCCCCAGGGGAAACCTACTCATCCGGACGAGCTATTCGACGGGACTCGTTATCCCATTACGAGGAACCACTTACTTATCAACAGGGGCACCGGCGCAACGTGAGTTTATCCCTCCCCAGGAGGATCCACTCATTCGCAGGACCTGCTCACACCGGTGGTAAACTAGTGTCCGATGCGACGGGAGAAACCTTACTCATCAAGAAGCGCTACTCACTCGCAGGGCCTACTGAATATAGGCGCACACGCACCAGGAGAACCGACTCACCGGTAGCACCAATTCGGCCACGTGAGTCACTCACTCGGTGGAGCCATGGGGTCGCTCAATCGTCTCATTCTCCTCTGCTGCCCCCAATGCATGGAATGCCCCCCCCCCCCCAGCCCCCAGTCCTTCGTGCTACCAACTCCCTCTTGAAGTCCAGGCTCAATGACTCTCTCTTTCCTCTCTGCCCGTGAGGACTGTCTGCGTTCGTCTCTCTCTCTCTCTGCAATAAATGCGCGTGCGCTGTTTCCGCACAGCGTCGTGCGCAAGCGACGGCATCATTGAGACACCACCGCCGTGTGCATTCAAATCACAGCGCACTCTGCTGAGCTGCATATTCTACTCACCGCGTGCAGCACCAACAACTCAACATGAGTTCCCGCACTCACTCGAGCTGTCGGTCCACGCACACCCCACCCCGTCACGCGGAATCAGCAGTGTGTAGTTATCCTGGAGGGATCCGATGAGCTATGAAGCTCTTTTTTCACACACCGCAACTCTCCCTTATGCACCCACACCACCGCCCGCCGTCACCACGCGGTGATTACCCCCCCCCCGCATCCACCTCTATTAAGCAAGACACGCAGAGCGCATCAACACCTTCGCCCGGGTGTCGACCAAACCCTCACCTGGCATCTCAGCGTCTCCTCCGAGTACCCGCTGCCGTCCTGCTCCCGCCCGGAGGCAAGCGGCGCCACTGCGATGAGGGCCGACATGAACCAGGCGAGCGCGACCATCGCTGCGCACAGGCGCCTCCGCGAGCGCAGGGTGTACTCCAGATGGCTCGCCATGGACCAGTAGCGGTCGAGGGCGATGGCCGTCACGTTCCAGATGCTCGCCGTGCAGCACAGCACGTCGCACGAGGTCCACACGTGGCACAGCGTGCGGCCGAGGCGCCACCTGCGCCCGTGCAGCTCCCGCACGAAGCCCAGGGGCATGACGAGGGCCGCGACCAGGAGGTCGGAGACGGCCAGCGAGGCCACCAGGGTGTGCGGCGCGCGGTGGAAGCTCCGAACGCGCAGGATGGCGGCGAGCACGAGCGCGTTCCACGCAAGCGTGGCCAAGGTGAGCGCTGCGAGGAGTGTGAGGGTGAGCACGGCCAGAAGGGAGGAGTGGGGTGAGGCCGCGGTGCTGGCGATGGTGGAGGCGAAGGTGGCGGCGGCGGCCGTGGTGATGGTGGTGGTGGTGGTGGTGAAGGTGATGGCGGTGGTTGTTGGACTTGCGCTCTGTTCCCACTGTGAGACGTTGGCGGACGCGCTCGATGCGATGCTGCTGCTGGGGGTGGTGCCATCCGCCATGGTGGCACGGGCGTGGAGCAGCAGCAGCAGCAGTAGTAGCAGCATTCGTTCCCGTGATGATCTCTGCTCGCTCGCGCCCGTGCGCAGATTTCGCTGAGATGCAACTGCGGAGAGCAGACACGACCAGCGCGACTGGCGGTCGTCGCTTGCAGGGAGGTGAGATGGAGAGCCCTAACTCTGTCCCGCGACCCTCGGCATTCTCCGTTCGCGTGCAATTACGCACGCGCGTGTGACCACATTGAGCATCCCGTGCGGACGCCTTCGGCACCCACCCGACCGAGGCGCATCCTCTTACACCTTGACACCGTTTAGGTGACACATTGAAGGCGGGGGGGGGGGGGGTGACGGGGGAAATCAGCGGTCTACGGTTTGTGATTTTTGTAACGCTTAAACCAACTCGCACCCTTCGCTTGCGATGGGTTCTTCTGATTCCGCGCGTGTCCGTCCCCTGTGTGCGTGCGGAGTCCCCTTGACTGTCGGGAGGCAGAGGGCGAGCGGGCGCGTGCGTGGCTCCGCGCGCCGTTCGTGCGGCAGCCGAGCCGGGCGCGCGCGCGACACCGCGCGAGGCGAGCTCCAAGTTTTTGTCTCTGCAGGCGCGCGATCCCCCCTCACCCCCTCCTCCCCCCGTCCTCATCCTCCTCATCCTCCTCCCACAGAACTCCGCCTCCTCACACTCCACACCACCCAGTACACTTTCTTGATCCGCTCCTCTCTTTCTCTACCTCGCTCTCCTCTGTCGCTCCTCTCTCTCTCGTCTCTCTCCTCTTCCCCTCTTTCGTCTCTCCCCTCACTCCTTTCTTCCACTCTCTCCCTTCGCTCTCGTTTCAATCCTCTCTCTGCTATTTCTCTCCCTTCTCTCTCCACTTTCTCCTATGCCTCCCGTCTCCTATACGGTCCCTCTTCTTTCCTCTCTCTCGTCTCCCGGCTCGCTCTCCTATATCTCCATACTCTTTATATTCCTTCCCATATCTCCCCTCTCCTTCTCACACCTCTCTCTGCTATCTCTCTCACTCATCTCTGTGATTTCTCGAACTCCCCCCTCTCTCTCATCTCGGTCCTATCGCTCACCTCTCTCCGCTCTCGTCCTATCACCTCTCTCGCTGTTTGTCTCTCGGCCGGCTAATATCTTGACACGTACACAGACAGACCATCCATTGTCGAACCACTTGGGAGCCCGTTGACCCTCTAATGAACTGCTTTTCATGGGGAAAACTTGGGATAACAAGGTCAGGCACAGAACTATGACAAATGTGCGAAGCATTTATTTTATTATTAATACATATATTTTTGCTGTCACTTTAGTAAATGTTTAAGGATCCGGCGATTCGATGCATTGTCGCGATTAAATGCATTAAGCGATTACTTGTTTACATTTGTGTGAGTCCATAACGTGCAACGTGTTCGAATGGTAATAAAAAAAAAAACATAGCACCTTACGCGCGTGATTCCATCCATCAATTTGCGACATGAATATTCGATGTTAAAGAATAGATGCATGGTACATTGCCATTAATTTGGCCACGATTAGAATAACAAATAAACACGCGATTACATACGTCGCTGTGACAAGCAAACAAATGCATTGCCTCGCATTCCCGCACGAATGTGCCAAACATCCCATTTGCCCTCTGTGACGCTTTCATGGATAAATGAATGAAATAAAAACCATCCATTTCTTGTTGGTGATGTAGCGGCCACTAGTGGCTGCAGAGGTAACGCGAATATTTGCCGTCACAACCGATTTCCACTGCAATAGATCTCTCCAGTAACAACAATAACTTAGAATTGTAAGCGCTTTATCGTGTACTGTATATGCTCTTCATCGAGTCGCATTACATTGTTGTGCATTAGAACATCGCGCTGCGTGCCGCCCACACAGTCTCGAACCAGTCACACACACACATACACACAAAACAAAGATCCCCCATATAGCCTTAACAGACGGTAGAGGCAAGTGCTGTTATTGAGCACTTTTGAAGGCCAGAACGGTACACGAGGGGGTGGGTGGCCAGCACCACGCCCGACCGCCTTTGTCTCCCTAGTGGCAATGTTTACACACCGCACCAGGTACTCATTTGAGGCTGAGTCGACCTAGGGGAGGCCCGGGACCGGTTCAGATAATCGTCACTGGTGGTGGCCGTGAGCGGGAGTCGAACCCGGGTCGCCAGGTTCATAGCGCAGCGCGCTAACCGCTACACTATCGCACGCACACACGCACACACAGACGCACACACACACGCACAACAACAACCGCCATTCGCCACTAAGTGGCGGTGACGTCACCACGACGCTTGTGCCAGGCTATGTGCACCTTGAGGTGGTGCACCAGCCAGTCATCTCAGTCAGTCGACCCGTGGCACCTGGGTCTGCCCCGTGACCTCCTGCCAGCGGGCGTTCAACACTTCACGTGGCCTCAAGGTGCACATGGCCTGGCACAAGCGTCGTGGTGGCGTCACCGCCACTTAGTGGCGAATGGCGGTTGTTGTTGTTGCACATTGAGGCCACGTGCAGTGTCGAACTCCCGCTGGCAGGAGGTCACGGGGCAGACCCAGGTGCCACACACGCACACACACATACGTAGCACAACGCGCACGGACGCACGTCGGTTGACACCCGTCCTGGTTTTCCGAGGAGGTCCCACTGTTGATTAACCGCTTGTCCTGGCGGAATCTGTAAGTGTTCCCGGGACATGAAAAGGGCCCTCGTTATTGTCTGTTGCGTAATCAACACAATCCCTTGACATGCAGTTAACCCCTCTTGCGCTGTTGTGAGAGATATATTTATTTATTGTCTTATCACGTTACGTCCCGGTTTTTTGCACCTCGGAGGTGGCAACCCACAGGGCACACGTGCTCACAGAACGCACACCCAAACACGCGCTCATGTCCACAGCACACACGAATATAAGGCAAACACACACGTGCACACTCATACGCACGGGCACACGTAAACAAACGAACAGACAGCAAGCGCCATTCGCCAATGAGTGGCGGTGAGGTCATCGCTGCGGTTGTGCCAGGCTAGGTGCACTCTGAGGCCACGTCAAGGACGTAAGGGGACAGACCCATGTGTCATAGATTGATTGGCTGAGATGACTGGCAGATACACAAGCTATGCTCCCCACTGTGCCAAGTAAACACATAAAACACATTTCCACACAGTTTTAACAAACTGTTGGGGCAAGTGATGTTTGCGAGCACCTATGATGGCCGGCACGGCACACGAGGAAGTGGATGGCCAGCACCACGCCCGGCCGCTTTTGTCTCGTTAGTGACGACGTTTGCAAACTGCACTGAGGCTGAGTCGACCTAGGGGAGGCCCAAGACTGATTTAAATAATCGCCACTGCTGATAACCGTGACTGGTGTCTCTGTCGAGTTCGTAGCGCAGCGCGCTAACCGCTCCACTACCGCGCGGCTACAGACACCCACACACCACAATTAAACACACACACACGCACACGTAAACAAACAGATAGCCGCATACACCTGGGGCGTCGACATGTCCCAGCAGTGGCGCGTTCGATAGTTTTGATGTTGTTGCGGAAGATCGCAGTGCGTATCCGGCAGGCGGCCCTGGTTAATACTGCGAGCGTCTTAAACGTTAATTACGACGCGCCATCTGCTTCGCAGTGGACGTTGGCAATCTTCGTCCTCCACCACCCTCCCCACTACCTCCTACCAGCTCCTGTGAATGAGACGTGGGCCACGATTCTGCCGTTATTGCTCAACGGGAGCGCGCATACTTTGTCGTCTCAAATGCGCGACGCTTCTCCCCCCCCCCCCCTCCGTGCACCGCGCAACCGCATTAATCAGTGCGGAGATTTCCCACGAGATTCTATCTTTCCTGGATGTCCCCCCCCCGCCCGCCACAACTGTGGAAACATCCTGCTGACGCCCTCCGCGAAAATTGCGAAATGACGAGGTGCAGGATTATTTGGAGGTCGTGACACCTCCTCCCCTCCCCCACCTTCAGAGGAGCAGGGGTCACGAAGGGCAAGGGGTGGGAGAGGCGGAGGGGTGTGAGGCGAGAAGGGAGGAGGGGGTAGAGAGCGACAAGATTATCAGCTGGGGAGAGGAGATAGAGAGGAGGAGGCGATGCCGACAATGATGGTGAAGAGGAGAAGGTGGTGGTGGTGGTTATGATAATGATAAGAATGATGACATGGACGGGAGAAGGAGCAGCAGTAAGCAGCGTCATCATCATCATCAGCACCTTCATCATCATCAGTAATAGCAGCAGCAGCAGCTTAATCACAATCACCATTAATCAATCACAGTAGTGGTATCTAGAGCACTGTTGTAATAATGATGATGAAACTTAATGAACTGCAAGAGCTTCGCTGAGTTTAGAAACTAATTTTATTTCCCCGATGAGTGTGAGGAAATCGGAGTACCCGGCACGGAAAACTCAGCCGGGGTGCGCATTCGTAGCATCCGCACAGACGCATTCAAGAATCCGTTGGTGAACAGCCACACCGCGCAGCTCCGGCTCACAACACTTGGTATTCACGGGCAGTCTCCCATCCGAGTGTTAACCAGAGTCAACCCTGCTTAGTTTCCGTGATCGTGACGAGATGGGGGCGAATCCAGGGGTCGATTTGGAGGAGGGAGCGAGGGGGAGGGAGTGGGTGACGGGGGGAGGAAAGCGCTCCGGGCATCACTTGCCACTTTGGTGTTCTGGGTGTCTGTGTGTGTGTCTGTGTGTCTGTGTGTGTCTGTGTGTGTGTCTGTGTGTGTGTCTGTGTGTGTGTCTGTGTGTGTGTCTATGGGGAGCGATAGTGTAGCGGTTAGCGCGCTGCGCCATGAACCTGGCGACACGGGTTCGACTCCCGCTCACGGCCAACATCAGTGACGATTATCTGAACCGGTCCCGGGCCTCCCCTAGGTCGGCTCAGCCTCAAATGAGTACCTGGTGCGGTGTGTAAACATCGTCACTAGGGAGACAAAGGCGGTCGGGCGTGGTGCTGACCACCCACCTCCTCGTGTACCGTTCCGGCCTTCATAGGTGCTCGCTAACAGCACTTGCCCCTACAGTCTGTTAAGGCTATATGGGGGATCTTTGCCTCTTTTCATCTTTTCATCATAGAGTTTCTACCGGGTTAGATCGCGTAAATATAAATGTGTTGTTAAACTCACCACCACCCGACACGGCCAATTAGTAAGGTTTGTCACGTAAAAATAAAATAATGCCAATTCGTTACTAGTACAGCGCACCGGTGTGTTGGAGAGGAAACCCACAACATTTACAATCTGCGCACGACGTTTCGGCAATAATTACAACTATCATCATCAGGCGACAGCCAGATTAGTGGAGACACCCTCCTGTGTCGATCTTAAATAGAGGGATAAATGTGATGTCACATTTCTGTGTGAGGGTCTCTCTCTCTCTCTGTACGCGTGTGGCTCGGTACAAGTCAATGCCAATTGCGTAGAAATCCAAAGCCATTGCAACAACAACAAAAAAACTCTCTTCGACAGCCGTTATCGTGCAATTAAAACGAATGAGATCACCATTACATCCTGTGCCACATCTTAGTAATGTGCTTGAGTATCGATGTCTTTGCCAAGGGACTCTAAACTACTTAGCGGTAGATGTCCGTATATACATC